TTGGTTAATGTTGAAATAAACTTATTAGCATTTTTTCTGCAAGGAATGTCGGACCCAATAATCCAAAGCCTCTATACTAACCCCCCCCCCCCCCACAAAAAACCTAACCTTAAAAAAATCAGATTTTTCCACAAAATTAAATGGACCATGTTTGACAGACACTCAATAGCTTAGCAGCAATAAAAGGAATCCAATCAGGTTACTGACATATCCCAATTGATAGTAAGACAGTTGCTTATTTGGTGTATTACTGTTTATCAACTAGCTCCCATATAGCTTCAAATGCATTTGCTGATATTACTAAAACAGCTCATATTTCTGACTCAAAATACACACGCCAGTAGTTCCTAATATCAATCCCTAAACCCTCTTATAGCTGCATACCTGATTATATTTTCAAAATAAATATTTCTTTAAACAGCTTTTTCTAAAGCAAACATAACTCGCAATAAAAAAAATTCCACTCAAAAACAACCTCAAAAGACCTGAAGACAGAATCAGCCAAAACTTTTTCTCACACCCATTTCATGTTTCATTACGATCCTTCTTACTTACCTTCCATTGTTTATAGAAGCAATTTATTCACTCCAATTTTTTTTAAAAACAAAAATCTTAACGCGATAAATGAATAACAAAGTTTTTTTCTTCGGGTGTTGTGAGTAGTAAGCATTAAGTGTTTGTTGATATTTCAAAAAAAAAACCCTCGAAATTTGAAGTACTTGAAAATAATCATGAGGAATGATGGAAAAGATCAAGACATGTGATACATGGTGTTCAGTCAATTGCCGTCAATTGTGAAATTTTGTTGTTTTTTGAGAGTGAGGGAGGGGGGGAGGGTGTTGAAAATTAAATTTGTGAATTTTCAGTAGTGCTGGTTAAACTATTGTTCATGTAGTGTTGTATTAAGGGAGTGCGTTAGGATCTATTGACTAAAAAGTTGAAAATATTAATAAAAGTGGCTTTAAAATTCTTCTAAAATTCTCCCCCCCCCCCCCCTCAGCTCCTACTCAAATTATCCAGAATGATTTAATTATTTTTAATTGTGGCTCAAAAAAATGATTTTTTGTATGCCAAAGATAATTTGTTGTTGTGTCAAAACTACACCTTATTTTATAGTTTCTTATTTTCAAGTGATGCCTAGCCAATGAAAGCTATTTACCTATAACCTTAGAACAATTTTAAAACACATCTCACGCTTTATTTAACTCACTTAATAAGAACTTTAACAGAACTTTAATTCAGAATTTTCTACCGTACGTGATTCAATTCAGATATTCACAAGCAATAAGTAAAGGAAGCACAAATAAAATGACGAATAAGGTCAGCAAAAAAATATTTTCATTTTCTTCTCACTCGAGAGAGTTTGTTTAAAAGTAAAAAGGGATGAGGATGGAAAGGATATGCGTGATGTAAATGTGATAGACACACAACATTATGGTTTTTTTGCCATTCCATCCACATGATTGTCTTGGGATATGTGGATATGTATTTGAGGAGCGTTATTTAAGTAATAAGAATCATAAAATACTTTGCTGCCAATCTTATGTAAGACTAAAATTAAATTTCATGTAATATGATGAGAAGTGACAGACATTGATAATAAATGAATAGGAATATAATCTGATTATTAGAGAGTAGGAGGTTGAGATGATTGAAGTTTTTTATATTATTTAAATTTAATTAATGAACATTTTGTGGTGCTTGAAAGAGGAAATTTTGTAAATTTTACTAAGTACAGACAATGGCTTTTGTCTGCTGATAATTAATTTACATTATTAAGTTGTTAATGTTATCATGAATTATAATTAGACTTAATTTCGTTACATGCTGGATCTTTAGGGGCTGTTTTTGTATTTTGGATCGTTTAGGGAAGGAAATATTGACTCGTTTCCAACTTATTGAAGCTTATAAATAGGTGAACTGACTTACTTCAATTTATCAATAGAATGAATAATAAAATAAGACGCAATTACAGCCTTTCAAAAGATTTAATTGATTTTAAATCAAATTCTGGATTTTAAAGCCAGGCATTTCCAGAAAATTGTACGGGAGGAGGGGAAATCGAGGTTCATAAACAAAATAAATTGAATTAGAATCAAAATTAATACTTTCTTACAATTAGTTGTTTTCCTTTGATCTAATTGCTATCCAATTAAATTTTCAGTCAACTAAAATTATCAATTGACAACAACTCCAAGTCACGATGAATCAAAACTTCCCTCAGAAAATCATCATTTGCAATTCAGATACAGATTAAAATTCCTAGGTAGCAAATCTGTAGACTAGATGTTATATTTTTAGAAAAAGTAATCAGAATTTCATTCCCTAAAGGTCGTTGATATTGTGAACTTTAAAAGCATTAATTAATTTTATAGCACAGTTATTTTTACAGTAGCTGGAGTCAGGGGCGTAGCCAGGGGGGGCCATACGGGGCTCAGCCCCCCCCCCCCTACGAAAATCTGATAATTGTTTTATTAAGTATTTATAGAGAAGAACCAGTTAATGTAGAGGAAGTGATGACAGAAATTTCAAATCAGCACGAAAAATTAAATTTAATGTATGAATAATGAATTAAATATTTAAACTTATGAATAATGAATATAGATATAAGGATACAAAATAACGGTTTTTTAAATTTTCGAAAATGGGCCCCCCCCCCTTAAAAATTTTCTGGCTACGCCCCTGGCTGGAGTTATGGCTACAAGTTGTAACTCACAACTTTTATATTTCTAAATGAAATGTTTTTGATTGAAAAGTTGGATTTAAATTATTTTTTTTTTTGAGTCAGGATATTAAGTTGAGAATGCATCTTGGGCTGGTTTCTAAGAATATCGAGAGCATCAAACTATGATACTAAACCATGAAGTATCAATAAAATTCAACTTTAGGTGGGGAAGCTAGAGTCAGCTAGTAATTGGCCCTGGAGCTAGTTCACAAAAAATCTGATTGTTTTATCTTATTTTTGAATTACAAGAGGGATAGCTAAAGGGTCAGAAAGGGGGGGGGGGTGCAAATCCACTTTTGGATTTTTCTTTAAATTTGCATTAAAAAATTTCAAACTTCTTTAAAAATTATCTAAAAATCCTCATCAAAAATTTTCTGGCTGTGCCCCTACACCGTGCTTGATTCAGTTACTACAAAAATTATTTTCAAAACAATTCCGCAATTTTATCAGCAATACTGTACAGAGCAATGATTAATTGTATTTTCAAGCACTAAACGGCAATTATTAAAGCAATAATTAATATTAATCACATTAAGATACAGTAGAAAATACGGAAATAATGTTAAGTCTCGTAAGAAAATTCAATCTTGCTCTTTATCTCAACTCAAGCTTCAATGCAGGAACATTTCTTTTAAAATTAGTCTACAAGTTCCTCAACTAAAGTTAACAGAACAAGTTTTTTTTATCTTGAAATTTCATGAAGCTATTTATAAGTCGATAGAGCACTTTAAAATAAGTCAGAGTCACTCCTTTCTCTCGACTTTCATTTTATTCTAAAATAGATTATTCCCTTCATTTCACATCTTGCTCTTATTTCTCATTTCACGAAGTAATGAACGTGATAATTGAATTAAAATAATGAAGAAGAATGGAAAAAGCTGAATGAAGAGTAAAAAATAAAAAGAAGCCGATTGAGTTGTTAATTGAGAGAACAAATAATGCGTTCATCACGTAATAATGATTGAATTAATTAGCGCATTCATTGGCTTCTTTATAGACTATCACGTTTTATTTGAGATTCTTTCTCAGTCGCAATTTTGTGGAAAATAATAAGTTTTTTTGGGGGTGGAGATTTGGCTACAATTGTGCTTAAAGCTTTGACAATTTAATAAAAAAATTTAAGTTTTTTGTTGAGGTTTTGACGTTGATGATGTTGAGGAGAGGGTTGAAATTAGTTTCATATTATTCCATGGGTCTACAATCACAGTTTTTATAATCTTCATTAGTGAGGGTCCTTTAGGGGTCGTTCACTTATGACGTTCGAAATTAACGGTCATTTTTCAAAAAAGAACAATGGATTTCCTGGAATTTCTATTGTTCTTTTCTTGCTGCCCCCCCCCCCCCCTGGACGTCATAAATGAACAGCCCCTTAGCCTGATTCTTCTTTAAACATAATCTTGCCTTTGCATTTAAATACAAGCTTATAGTTAGGTTTCATAATTTATAAATCAAATTCCTCTTTCATTTCTATTTTTATCCACAAACCACGTAAGTGCCATGTCAGAGGCAACCCCCACCCGCTCTTTTGCAGGTTAAAATGTCTTCGATTTTTTAAAGTTTTCTACTAAAGGGTCGTTCATTTATGACGTTTTCAAAAAAGAACTATGGATTTCCAGGAATTGCTATTGTTCTTTGCTTGCTGACCCACCCCATCCCCACTGGACGTCATAAGTGAATAGCCCCTAAAAAATCCATAAATCATTCGTAAGTTTACCAAAACAATTTCAAACCCTCCAAAAAAATGTCTATCATCGCCCCTGACTTTCCCTAAAGCCAAAGACTTTTTCAATTAAATTTATCAATACTGAAAAATAATTCAATAAGTCTGCAACTTTAAATTTAAAATTACACTGTACGATTGAAAAAAATCAATAAAAATAATAATTTTTGCATGTAAATTTGCACGTCATTCCCTCAAACTTCTCATGTGACTTCGCACTTTATTAAAATCTTTTGTAAAATTAAAGCAATTACAAAAATCCTCACTCTATTAAACAGCTCCCAACCCTGACCAGAAATCATTAATTTTGTGCTCTGTAATTTTGTAAAAAATCAGATTTGAACAGCCACTAGCAAAGCAAATAGCATAGCATAGCTTGTAAGCACCGTCAAGTTTAATTTTCTGTATCTATAAATAATTCAAAAATGCATGCTTCTTGTACATAATTAATCATGCAATTGGAGTGTAACAATAGTCGGTAAAGATGAACTGCACTGTTGAAATGAAAGGTGCATTAAAATTAATTAAAAATCTGCAATTAAACTTGACATCCAGTGTCCCATCAGATCTCAATGGGTACCAATTAAATGCTTCATATTCTCCATCGATGCATCATTCAATTAAAAATTGCAATTTAAAAGACTATTACGCAATAAAGCAGCGTGAAATTGAATGTCAAGTAAGTTGTCAAATTAATCACAGCTGGTCGGCACCAGACTAGCCATGAACGTCTCTCAATCAAGTTTTCTTCAGCATTACTTTTTTCTCTCACAAAAAGTAATTTAATTGCACTGTTAAATTTTTTTAAATGCTAATAAGCTTCATATAAATTTATCGGAATATATTTTTTAAAAATAAATAAAATTTTATGGAAATCTAGTGAATGTGCATGACAGTATGCAACCTCATGCATGAGCGGACAAATAATCAATACACTTTTCTTCACGCAACACTGTTGCAATATTTTTTAATGCTTTAAATTGAATTACAATTTACCATGACAGTATTTATTCTATAATGTGCTCACTGTTAATGTGTATGTACATGAATTTGAGTTGTTAAAGCTGAAAAGCTAGTAAGAGATTGCGCGATATAAATAGGTTTTGGTCGCATGACATTATTGTATCCTATATAGCTTTAATGGGGTTTTTTTTTGACTCTTCAGATGAAATTTCATAGTCAGCCTAGCTATAACTTCAATCACCTTCCTAATTCTACGTCAATAAAGGATCCAGGCTCAGATCAGTGGCTGTATTTGGGAAATTCTTGACCCTAGCCATCCTTGTTCACGAGAAAAACTTTAAATTTGCTAGGGTTTCTTAGAAAAAGCCATGTCGCTGCTAAGCCCTTAAAATGATAATTTAAAAGATAATTTGAGTGAATTTTGAGCAATATGACATAAAGGTATGCCTTAAAAATTTGTTTCCACTAAAACCAAAGCTTTAATCAATCTCTGGACCATTTTGAACAACTATATTTGAATGCAAGCTTTGTAATAATCTATAAAGGATTAAAACCATCCAAGATTTAAAGAATTCACGACAATTTCAAATACCAAAATGCCGGAAGCACTTCAAGCACTTAAAAAACTGCATAAAAACTACTGCACTGTTATCATCTCATGAAAAACAATGAGTCAATTATGTACAAAAGCTATCATTTTTATTTCCAACATCCGAAACAAGCAAGCACTCCAGATTGCTCTACACTAAAAAAAGAGTCACAGTGTATGCCTTTTTGATATGTTATTTACGTTTATCAATTTCATGGCGATTCATGCAAATAAATGCAAATGCAACGATACTGACGACAATTGCATTACCAAGTGATGTACAAGATAGCAGCACAGACACAAAACAAAAATGTCGAGTGATAGTATTTAAATAATATTATTTTTATTTTATGTCAAGCGTACAGTAAAATTTAACGATGCTTATAATAATCTTCATTCATCCATTCGAAGTTCATGAGTCGACCGAGTGAGACAAATAGAAAAAGGGTATATCCAATATTTGCATTGACAACAAAATAGACAAGGAATGACGTGAATTGTTAGCAAATAGAGAGACATACACAAAAAAATTGAATTGTGTTGATGTGCTGCTTTGTTGGAAGTAAAAATAAATTTTGCAACACAATTCTCCATCCTGCTCGTCCATCAAGCAGCATCAATGGGACATTAACAACAACAAAAGCATATTTTCTAGTTTAAGTGCTGTAAAAGCTAGCTCGCGAATTAATAGCCTCTCATATGCAATCAAATATGTCATCAAGCATTTATTTTCTATAGACACAATATTTACTTCACATATCAACGAGCTGCTTCTTCACTTCCATTCAAATGAGACAAGACAAAAAAAAATTAAAACACACATCACAAAATTATGACAGCAATAATAAAGATTGAAGGACGATAATGTGGATGGCATTTTTATATATTCATATAATGATGACAATAATTTGTTCATTGTTAATGGTTGTTTTGTGGCCGATGAAATATCTAGTTACACATGATTGTTTATTGCATTCGATGTTATTCATTACAGCTTTTTAGCAGCCATTAACTTGGCATATTTTTGAACAGAAAGTCATTAGCATATGACTATAAATGGGGAGCAATGAATGAGACCGTAGATTTTCATCCTGAAGAGTAGTAGTGAGGGGTGTAGGCAGAGTGGTTCTTAAGTGTCTTGACAAAACTTCTTAAAGTTAAAGTTTTAAAATTATTTTTTTGTTCAATAGAAAAAATTGGGTCACTAATCCCACATCGAATCCTGGATACGCCTCTTGTAGAAAACTTCATCTCCGATGAGGCTTAATTAAAGTATTTGAATGTTTGGGATAAATTTGCATTGTAAACGATTCATGAATAAATCAAGTGAAGTTGTGAAATTCAGATGCCGGATAGTATGTCCACAGGCTGTTTAAGATGTTTATGAATTTTGAGCAGGGTTTTTACTAAAAGTTCAAATATTTTCATGAATCAGAGTCAATGTCCCTTTTTGGATGAAGACGATGGTATCCAATTTCTCGGATCTACCCAGAATAACGCTTTGTCCTGACCCCAAAAAGCCACCAAAAAAAAAATTACAAAAATAAAATAATTGTCACCAAATAGTAACCAATCACACATTGATCGATAAAACTCATCTTCTTATTAACTTCTACAGTCAAGTCCATTTTTCACAAACAGCTCGTACCAAATACAGCTATTGCACATGTCACAGACAAACGCAAGTGTTACTGAATTATGGATAACCATAAGCTTTTGTTGCTGTACATTTCATTAACAATTAATGCAAAAGGACCAAAGTTAGTCTACAGTCCAGTCATACAAAATTAATTACAGATCCGACCTTGTAATTATTCAGCTATGCCATTAAAATGGATTTCCGTCAGCTTAAAAGTTCTTAATGCTCTTGATTTTAGTTTTTGTGTATGAAAAATGAGGAATTAGAGATTTTGATGGAGTTAATTTTGTTGGGGAAAAGTTCATTTGATGCTGATTTACTTATTTTTGATTAAAGTAAATTAGATCAATTAGAGGATCAGAAGCGTAACCAAGAAGGTGCAAGGAGTCGATGGTACAAAAAAAAAATTAAACAATATTTCTCGCTTACATAACAATTTCCTTTAAAAAAATTAAGGTTAGACTAGTAAACACCCTATCGCATCTCGAGGATGTCGTAATTGAATAATACATAAGTTGCATTCATTTATAGAATCACTTTCTGTCCTCCAAATTTAAAGATATGTCTGTCAAGGGAGGAAGGGGCGACCCTAGTCAAAATCAATTTTGTCATTTTTTTCTTCGAGGGTTTATAAAAATGGATGGAAACTTTGCAACAATATTCCAATGCTTAAAACAAATACAAATAAAACATCTTAAAATTATTTTGAGCAAAGAACCAAGAAGGAAATACATTTTCAATTTTGGACTAGGGGCGACCCTAGTCAAAATCAATTTTGTCACTTTTTCTTTGAGGGTTTATCCAAATGGATTGAAACTTTGCATAAATATTCTAGTGCTTAAAACAAATACAAATAAAACATCCTAAATTTTTTTTTGAGCAAAGAACCAAGTAGGAAATACATTTTCAATTTTGGACTAGGGGCGACCCTAGTCAAAATCAATTTTGTCATTTTTTTCTTCGAGGGTTTATAAAAATGGATGGAAACTTTGCAACAATATTCCAATGCTTAAAACAAATACAAATAAAACATCTTAAAATTATTTTGAGCAAAGAACCAAGAAGGAAATACATTTTCAATTTTGGACTAGGGGCGACCCTAGTCAAAATCAATTTTGTCACTTTTTCTTTGAGGGTTTATCCAAATGGATTGAAACTTTGCATAAAAATTCTAATGCTTAAAACAAATACAAATAAAACATCCTAAAATTTTTTTGAGCAAAGAACCAAGAAGGAAATACATTTTCAATGTTGGACTAGGGGCGACCCTAAATCTAAAATTTCGACTCCCCCATCTGAATTTTGCTCATACTCTTCACTGTGGAAACCAAAAAACAAATTCTTTATCTTAAAACACTTGACAAAATAGCGACATAATTCAGGATTAATTATTTTTTAATAATATTTTAACATTTACGAGAAAATGTGGTTCAAATAAGTGTGAAGTATGGCCGAGATTTGGACCAAAATCAGCTATAACTTTTGAACTGTGTCGATATGGGTCTCAGCCGTACTTCACGCCCACAGGATTTGTCACTCAATTCATTAACCTAAGGACGCGCCTAGTTCCAACTCTCAAAAATTCTAAAATAATCAACATTCAACTTAATTGATGATTTTCAATCCAATTTCAGTTCATGTCTTACTTTATAAGGATAAACAATCAGAAAAAGTTTCATGAAAAATTTCCTCATCAATTTGATTGCAAAATCTTCCTCATTTTCATTGCTGCGCATTTAACTTCGATTCAGCGAGTCCATTGATTAAAAATTTTAAGAATGCCTTCTTATTTTTCAATAAAAAAGAGCATCCACTGGTCATTCAAGCTAACAATTCATTGTTGAATGCAGAAAAAATATTTATATCTTGACAGCCAGGGAATTGGAATGATAAAAATCAATAACAATGGATGCTAAAAGATATAAGAAGCTTTAAAAAAAAGTTGTAAAATTCACCTGTTTTCCCTTGTCACTTTTTTGTTGTGCTGCTTCCTTGTTTTCATCTTAACAGAGGAAGCCTTAAAGGCTTTTAGATGTTAAACACAAAAATCAATATTTAGGCATGTGTTTTTGTTCAAAAAATTTGTCGCTTCCATGCCATCAAAATTTTATTTCTTGAGTTTTATTAACCGACATATCATGTACCTTGAAAAGCTGCTTATTTCCTTCAATTCATCTACTTAAAACTGTTTATGTCATCCTCAAATTCAATCATAAACCTATCAAACTTTTTTGTTGAGATTTTTCTCTTTTTCAAGCTTCAAGGATCAAGAATCTGTTTTGTAAATTGATAAAAATGGAATTTTTAGAACAGAAAAACAAGCAATTCCTTTGCAATAAGTACACAAACATTTCAATGGTTCCATTTTAAGAAATAAATAAATGATGTCAGATTCAAGTAGGATGGAAACTTGAAAAAATTATTTTTAATGCTCATTGAATTTTACTGCGAGTAACAGCATGTGGAAATGTAAAAAGTCGTTGAGGAATAGAATTTGGAATTGTTGATGACGCTGACAGGAAATAGAGGA